TAGCCTGTAGTGCAATCACTCGGGTTCAGTTAGAGCCCAACGCCTCGCTCGGGTTCAGTTAGACCCAACGCCTCGCACACACGCGTGTACCTGTACGAGAGAAATGTGCATCGTTCGGCCCCCGACCTCCCACCATAACTGGCAACTCCTCGAAATTTTCCTCCCCCTCGCTTCTACTATGGTTTTTTCCGTAATGGACGGCCCAACGAATGTCATGCAGCTGCGTCTCTGGCCCGCCTAGGACGAAAAGCCCATTTTCTGTCATGAATTTTTGTCATAGAAGTAGGAGCCCACCACATCTATGATGATACCGTGTTTTATCACAATTATCGTCATAGAAGTGTCATATGTATGATAGAAAAAAAAATTCGTTCAACCCAAAATGTCAGGGATGTGTCTTTTTTTTGTAGTGCTTGGTGTTGATCATGTTTTTCTCGTGAGAGAGGCTTAGTCAACAGGTCTGCAACATTCATATCCGTATGTATCTTGCAAATCTCTATGTCTCCCTCCTTGACTTGGTCGCGGATGGAATTGAAGCGTCTCTTGATGTGCTTGGTTCTCTTGTGAAATCTGGATTCCTTTGCCAAGGCAACTGCACCAGTATTGTCACAAAATATTTTCATTGGACCCGATGCACTAGGTATGACACCTAGATCGGATATGAACTCCTTCATCCAGACTTCTTCATTTGTTGCTTCCGAAGCAGCTATGTACTCCGCTTCACACATAGATCCCGCCACGACGCTTTGCTTAGAAATGCACCAACTAACAGCTCCACCGTTCAAAACAAACACATATCCAGTTTGTGACTTAGAGTCATCTGGATCAGTGTCAAAGCTTGCATCGACGTAACCATTTAGCTCTTTGTCACCTCCATAAACGAGAAACATATCCTTAGTCCTTTTTAGGTATTTCAGGATGTTCGTGACTGCTATCTAGTGATCCACTCCTGGATTACTTTGGTACCTCCCTGCTAAACTAATAGCAAGGCACACATCAGGTCTGGTACACAGCATTGCATACATGATAGAGCCTATGGCTGAAGCATAGGGAACATCTTTCATTTTCTCTCTATCTTCTGTAGTGGTCGGGCATTGAGTCTGACTCAATTTCACACCTTGTAACACAGGCAAGAACCCTTTCTTTGTTTGATCCATTTTGAACTTCTTCAAAACTTTATCAAGGTATGTGCTTTGTGAAAGTCCAATTAAGCGTCTTGATCTATCTCTATAGATCTTGATGCCCAATATATAAGTAGCTTCACTGAGGTCTTTCATTGAAAAACTCTTATTCAAGTATCCTTTTATGCTATCCAGAAATTCTATATCATTTCCAATCAATAATATGTCATCCACATATAATATTAGAAATGCTACAGAGCTCCCACTCACTTTCTTGTAAATGCAGGCTTCTCCAAAAGTCTGTATAAAACCGTATGCTTTGATCACACTATCAAAACGTTTATTCCAACTCCAAGATGCTTGCACCAGTCCATAGATGGATCGCTGGAGCTTGCACACTTTTTTAGCATCCTTTGGATCGATAAAACCTTCATGTTGCATCATATACAACTCTTCTTCCAGAAATCCATTTAGGAATGCAGTCTTTACATCGATTTGCCAAATTTCATAATCATAAAATTCGGCAATTGCTAACATGATTCGGACGGACTTAAGCATCGCTACGGGTGAGAAGGTCTCATCGTAGTCAACTCCTTGAACTTGTCGAAAACCTTTTGCAACAAGTCGAGCTTTGTAGACAGTAACATTACTATCAGCGTCAGTCTTCTTCTTGAAGATCCATTTATTCTCGATGGCTTGCTGATCAACGGGCAAGTCAACCAAAGTCCACACTTTGTTCACATACATGGATCCCATCTCAGATTTCATGGCCTCAAGCCATTTTGCCGAATCTGGGCTCATCATCGCTTCCTCATAGTTCGTAGGTTCGTCATGGTCAAGTAACATGACCTCCAGAACAGGATTACCGTACCACTCTGGTGCAGATCTTACTCTGGTTGACCTACAAGGTTCGGTAGTAACTTGATCTGAAGTTACATGATCATCATCATTAACTTCCTCATTAATCGGTGTAGAAGTCACAGGAACAGATTTCTGTGATGAACCACTTTCCAATAAGGGAGTAGGTGTTGTTACCTCATCAAGTTCTACTTTCCTCTCACTCACTTATTTCGAGAGAAACTCCTTTTCTAGAAAGGATCCATTCTTAGCAACGAATGTCTTGCCTTCGGATCTGTGATAGAAGGTGTACCCAACAGTCTCCTTTGGGTATCCTATGAAGACACATTTCTCCGATTTGGGTTCGAGCTTATCAGGTTGAAGCTTTTTCACATAAGCATCGCAGCCCCAAACTTTAAGAAACGACAACTTTGGTTTCTTGCCAAACCATAGTTCATAAGGCGTCGTCTCAACGTATTTAGATGGTGCCCTATTTAACGTGAATGCAGCCGTCTCTAAAGCATAACCCCAAAACGATAGCGATAGATCAGTAAGAGACATCATAGATCGCACCATATCTAGTAAAGTATGATTACGACGTTCGGACACATCATTACGCTGTGGTGTTCCGGGTGGCGTGAGTTGCGAAACTATTCTGCATTGTTTCAAATGAAGACCAAACTCGTAACTCAAATATTCTCCTCCATGATCAGATCGAAGAAACTTTATTTTCTTGTTACGATGATTTTCCACTTCACTCTGAAATTCTTTGAACTTTTCAAATGTTTCAGACTTAAGCGTGCGGACCCTACGGGTTCGAGAACTATGTAGACATGACCGAGACACGTCTCTAGTCAATAACCAATAGCAGAACCTGGATGCTCATATTGGCTCCTACATATTCTACGAAGATCTTTATCGATCAAACCGCATAACAACATACGTTGTTCCCTTTGTCATCGGTATGTTACTTGCCCGAGATTCGATCGTCGGTATCTCAATACCTAGTTCAATCTCGTTACCGGCAAGTCTCTTTACTCGTTCCGTAATGCATCATCCCGCAACTAACTCATTAGTTACATTGCTTGCAAGGCTTATAGTGATGTGCATTACCGAGAGGGCCCAGAGATACCTCTCCGACAATCGGAGTGACAAATCCTAATCTCGATCTATGCCGACTCAACAAGTACCATCGGAGACACCTGTAGAGCACCTTTATCATCACCCAGTTACGTTGTGACGTTTGGTAGCACACAAAGTGTTCTTCCGGTATTCGGGAGTTGCATAATCTCATAGTCATAGGAACATGTATAAGTCATGAAGAAAGCAATAGCAATATACTAAACAATCAAATGCTAAGCTAACGGAATGGGTCAAGTCAATCACATCATTCTCTAATGATGTGATCCCGTTAATCAAATGACAACTTATGTCTATGGTTAGGAAACTGAACCATCTTTGATTCAATGAGCTAGTCAAGTAGAGGCATACTAGTGACATTTAGTTTGTCTTATTTATTCACACATGTACTAAGTTTTCGGTTAATACAATTCTAGCATGAATAATAAACATTTATCATGATATAAGGAAATATAAATAACAACTTTATTATTGCCTCTAGGGCATATTTCCTTCACTTTGAAGCCAGATGTCTACAATGACAAAGAAGAGGGGAGGTCAGACACCCAACTCACCAAGCACTATTGTCCTCGACTTCCTCCTAGGAGCAACAAGCCTGACAGACTATGTCACCTCCAACATCTTCAGGGGGATCGACACAAGATCATTCTTCATTCAAAGGACTCCCTCAAGACCTTGCCGAGCAGTCTAAGACGACGCATTTGGTTTGGCATTAATCCTAATGCAGCCAAACTATCGACGGATCAGTACACTTAGGGTACCTATGAGGTCACACACCTAGCGAACCTAAGTATTTCCAAGGTCAAATTCATGCAGACAGACCGCGACTGTCGCCAAAACAGCAGGAGCATGCCTGGGTTCTCATTTTCGAAGACAAAAGACTCCAACTCCACATGCGCTCAGGGTCTACTTACATTGCAATACACCAGGGGTACCCGACCTCCGGGAAATAAGGCCGCCATGCTGGCCTCGGAGCGCGGTTATTGTTTGGGACGCTCGCTTCTAACGGTGGGCCTCCTCTAGAAGGATATACCATTACTTGTACCGTAAGACATGATTCGTATAAAACTTTGGAAACAAGCCAAGTAACCCTACCCCTCATCCACCTATATAAGGGGAGGTAGGGGCCTCCCAAGGAGGCATTGAGCAGATCCAAAACATGTACACCTCATACGAGGCCACATCAATAAAATACATGCAGGATGTAGGGTATTACCTCACTATGAGGGCCTGAACCTGGGTAAACCCTTGTCTCGCATGTACGCCAACATGATCCTCTATGTGCGCTCCGCTCCACGAGGAACCTTGTGCAGGGATCTGATGGTTTTCTGCACCGTCACTCCACACGGGAAGATGCTGCTCATAAATTTAGAACATACACCAATGACTGGCTACTAAATAGGGTGGTCAGTGATGACTCAATATCACTGACTAGACACCTATAACAGCCGGTCCGTGATGCCATATCATCAATTTGAGGTGGACGGTGCACTTACCACTGATCGGTCAAGACTAGCCTTGTCAGTGTTTAACTGCCTAGGTTAGCTCTTAGAGACTCATACTGATGTCACTTTCGGAGCCCGTCTATGATGAGCTTCATCTCTGACCAGTGGCCACTGATGGACCAATGATGAGGGATTGGTGGTACAATGAACAGAGACAATAACATTGCATCAAGAAATTTCAAATTCTTATTTCAAACCGCACTAAACAGAAGCAACAACACTGCATTTGGAGTATAAAATCTTTGATACAAGAGATACTAGAATAGAAGTTGCCATAATAAATTAACAAGTTCCACGATGACACTCAACATTATTTTTGAAATAAATTCATTCTAGTAATAACAGAGGAAGCTCTTTCTTTACATGTTGCCCTTCTTTCGTCGATGAAGATCCCAGTTTATGCTCGCATGGAAGTAGTGGAGAACTGAAACTTTGTAGAGTATATGTTAGCAACACCAGCTTAAATGTGGCATAAGCTAAAAGCAATTTTGTAAATAAGGTAAACACATAATAACAATGAAAATCTACACTATAAGTAAACTATGGATAGTCAACAAAAAGCAAAGGAAACCAAGTATGCAAATGCGATTATGTTCCCTCCTTTTAGAAAAGGATGGGGCACAGTATCTTAGTCCAAGCATTTTAGGGCTGCAAATGAGAGAAGAATCAATTCTTTTGAAAGCCTTATGCAACTTAACTGGCCATGCCAGGCAAATAGTTTGCATGCAATCAGGTAACTTCACAAAAAAAAACTACGCAGCATATTAAGACTTAGACTGTCCGGTTCTTTGTCTTGTGGTGAATGTATTTTACTATCTGTTGTGATTTTCAGACTTATTTTCTTTCAACTACTGCTCAGAGCTTTTTTGGACCTTAAGACTTTGTTACGTTCTTATTTAATAATATGGTTGCATGCATCGATTGATGCAAAGGCCGGGGGTCAGCCTACTTTTAAAAAAAATCTGTTGTGAGAAACTAGCGGCAAAAATTGAATAAAATTGGTAGGCTATAGTTAGACAAACGGATTATTACAATCCACCTCGATCACATCCATAGTCTAATTTGATCAATCAATATGGATTTTGAAGGGTACATCATAACTACACAGATTTCAAAATATACAGATGGACTTTTGTGGAATTTTGCCACTTGAAACATTAGTGTATAGGCAGCAAGCGAACAATTTAAGCGGTAGGTTTCTCAGAAGCGGCCAGAGTAGACTACTGAAAAAGATTGGAAATTCCTCCTCTCACTTGCATGAAACAAAGTGATCTCAATACAGAGCCTCTGATCCAGTCCATATTTAATTTTCATACCTGGTTTGCCCTTTTGCTTGCACAACGTCCATCGAGCCTCCGAACAATGCTCTCGATTGAGGGTCTGCTCTTCCGATCAATGCGCACACAATCTAGACCAATTTCAATGCATACCTTTACTTCCTGGAGGCCATTTGCATTCAACTTTGAGTATCTGGACGCTATGTGTCCTTCTGTCCAATTTCTACGTACCTATGTAAAGAATTTCAAACTGTTATCCTAGATGACAACATAAAGTTAAACTCTAACATAAGCTTATTGATTTCAACAATTAAATCAGCATGTAGTATTCTTTCTTACTCTTTCAATAAACTCCCTTGCTGACGGTTCATTCTGTTTGGGGTTATTCTTCTCGCCGGTGGTAGTCTCGATGATTAATAGGCCTAAACTATATATGTTTGACTGAGCTGAGATTTCACCTCTGTATAGGTATTCTGGGGCTATGTATCCGCTGCACATAATTAGCAGTGATAATTTAATACGCATTGCTAGAAAGTGAAAATGCAATTTACAACAAAATATTAGAACAGTTCTAGTCAGCTTACTATGATCCCACAACATTCTGTGTGTTTGCCCGTGTTTGTTCTTGGCCAAAGAGCCTGGAAAGTCCAAAATCCGCGATTTTCGGTATCATGTTATTGTCCAACAGTATATTTTGAGGCTTCAAATCCATATGGATAATAGGAATCCTATGAAGAAAGAGTAAACCATCGCAGATCCCCTTAATTATTTTGAAGCGCGCATCCCAAGCCATGTTAATGGGTTTGTCTGAAGTTAAGGATTGAGTTATTTCAGTAGCTAAGATAGTAGTTCAAGGAACAGAACATGAGAAGGTAATCCATGCTCCAAACATTGTAAAACAACTAAATATTACTCCGTCCGTATCAAAATATAAGACATTTTTTGTACTGGAGTAGATGAGACTAAAATAGAAATTTATCATCACATACCAAAAAGGTTCCTCTGAAGGCTTCCCATAGGTAAATATTCGTAGCAGAGTAGGCTTTCATAAACATCTGCAACAATATATCTTCCATTGTTTTGAACAACCTTCTTTTGTCCTTCATGGCAGTACCCAACCAACTTTACCACATTCTTATGGTGGAGAGCCATGATATTTTGAACCTCATTGGTAAATGCTTTGTCGCGTGCAACCGGTGCACTCTCCGCAAGCTTCTTCACGGCAATCCTTTGGCTATCTGGCATAACTCCCTGTTCAACCTCAAAGATACCTTTTCAGCAAACATTGTCATTTTTGTCAACAAATTCCGAGAATGCAAAAAGTTGTCAAGGCATGAACATACCGTGTAAACCGTTCCAAATGCACCCGTACCAAGAATGCGCTGGTCTGAGAACTGATCTGTGATAGTCCTCAAGAAGTCCAACGGCAGTTCCTTGGGTAATGTGCTTAGAACAGTCTGATTGTTCTCCTCGGTATTGCCTCCTCCAGCGTAAGTGGCCATTTCTGATGGTATGACAAGCGATGGATGTGAGCTGCTGCAAGCCATGGATTTATCAAAACAATGGAAATAAAATCTACCGTTTTTAAGAAAGGAAAAACATGTGTAAAGCCATAACATCTTGTTTTAATTGAGCTATAAGCATGGTTGTGCTACGATCATCTGAAAAACAACAAGGTTCTTAATAGTACAAAGCACAACACTGACCTGGAGAAGATGGAACACTTGAGGTATGCTGCTATAGATGCTGGGAAGGGGGCAGCGAAATGGGGTTGAGGCTTGTGAGATGAATGATTTCGCTGCTAGCCGAAGGTGCATATAAATGAACCCAACCAGATCTGGATTCAGTTGACTTGACTTGACTCTCCCTCGAGTCTTTTCTCTTTCTTTGAAAAAAGAAAACGCGGGATCTGTAGCGCGTGAGGACCTCCACCGTCTGCCTCTGGGGTGGACGTCGGCATGTCCGTGTACACTGCGAGGTGTACGATCCAAAACACGGTCTAGGCTAGTTAGCGCGTCTCCAGTAGTAGAACCGCGTTGCTTCCCTTTGGCAAAAACGAGAAAGAGGCGAATGCTGGAGGGTAATAAGCCAGCCCAGCCCTCATCCGGTGCATAAGAAATGCGAGAAAAATCCATCGAAAGAACAAAATCGGGGCGCCAGAAGAAGAAAAACGGCCGTTTGTGCCGCCCTCGGCTCAGACCAGCCCACTCGGAGCACCCGAAGGCTCCGATGTGGTCTCGCCGGCATGAGCCAACAACAAGGGAGCACACACAGATCTTTAGTAGAATTTGATCTTGCAAGAACCTTTTATATTTTAGATATTTTTTTCCTCCGAAAAATAGGTTCAGAATTCATAAGATCCACATACATAAACTTCATGATAAAGACACCTTTAGTAGTTAACCTCCTTTGAAACTTATCTAGCATTTTAGTTACTCAAAGTTCGTTTGTCGTCAGCAAAACCCCGGAAGACGAAGTGTGAGCGTGAGCTGGTAGGCGTGAGCTCCCTGTCGGCTGCCTCTCCGGCACCGGCAGCCACCGCACCCGCCGCCGCTCGCGTGGGCTGGCGTCCACCCACCTGTCGTGTGCCTCTACGGGGCACGGCAGCCACCTACTTCCGGAGCTCCGCCGTGCAGTAAGAGGTTTCCGCTGCGTGCCAACAATGATTTCTTCTCCACCCAAGCTACGCTGGCTTTCAGGTTTGGTTTCTTCTTTGGTGAGCTCCAAGCAGCAACCTCTTCCTTGTTGCACGTTTCTGCCTCAATCTTTGATGCATCCAGTGTTCCGTCCCTGTCTTCTTGCTTCCACGTTCTTTTAGTACGGTCCACCGCAAGAGTTATGGATGGCTGTAGCTTTGAGAATGCCATGTTGGCAAAGTATGGTTGCGGCACCATTGAGTTGGTGGCTGGCCTTTGCCGGCCTGCCGGCGTGCTCGCCGTCGTCCGCAACGAAGGCATCCTGCTTTCTTCTAGGTTTTTCGTTTCTCTGCTGGTCTGCTGGTTCGGCGGTTTTGCAAACGGCTACCGCGTTCGTCAGTGCCAACGTGGCATTTTCCTCTTCCAGGTAACTCATGAGTCCATCGCTAAGGAGATCGTGCTCTGCGATTCATGGAGGCCGGGCATCATTGTGGTTAGCATGTCTCTTCCGAGCTTGACCTCTTCTGGCTGTCTTGATATGTTACGACCTGCCCGTTCTGCGCGCTCTGGCGCGCGTCGTCGTGTCTGGATAGCCAACTCCCTTCTGCCGTCGGTCCTTGGACCTGGGACGGTCCGTCTGTTTCGGACTCGGTTCACGATCACTCGTCTCCTCCTCGCATGCCTAGATTTTTGGGGGCCCTGGGACGGTTGGCAGGGCGGTGCTGTCCCTTGCAGCGCAACGCTCGAGGGTAATCAATTACTCCTGGGTCCGAAAATACTTGTCATCAAAATATAAAAAAAGATATATTTACAATTAAAATACATCTAGATACATCCCCTTTTATTCATTTTGATGACAAGTATTTCCGGACGGAGGGAGTACCTGCTAACCTCCCCCCCCCCCCTTAGTGTTATCGCCATGCTGGTGCAGCCATCGCCCCCTGGCCAATCGCCAGCCGCTCGCAGCTCAGATCGTACGGGATCTGCTTGCAATGCTTCGGCTGACCTCTCGTGCCCCCAGCCCGCCTCCTTGTCTGTGCATGGCTATACCCCCTACAAGGACGCTTTGCTCTCTCCCATGGGCAGGCGTTCTTCTCCCTCTACCTCGCGAGCTGCACCAAATCCGCTTTTTAGATATGGCAAGCCTAAAGACCTGCACAAGCGTTGCTTCCGTTGTCTCTCCTATAACCATTGCCGGCGGGATTGTAGGGATCCGGTTGTTTGCTGGCGTTGTCGTCTGGTTGGCCATGTTAGCTTTTAATGCTCTCTTCGCTACAGGCGCTCACCTTCTAGGCGCAACCTCGTCACCTTAAATACCAATGCTGGTTGAGCAGTCCTCACTCACCTGCCTCCTCTTCTCCTGCTCGCATCTGCGCCCCCTCTCCCCATCCTAGTAGCTTCGCGCCCCTGCCCACCACGCTCATGGAGCCCGTCGTGCATGGCCGCCCCACTTCCTTGGATGTCCACTACCCCATGGTAGCGGACCAAAACTCCCTTGTTTGCCTTGTCGACGTCACCCCTCCCCGCCCGGCTTTCTTGCCTTGGCTCAAGCATGTCTTCCGCTACCACCTCGGCATTTCGGCCATTCAGATTGTCGGCTGCTCCGTGGGCACCGTTTTTGTTGTCTTCCAGCGTGAGTCTGAGCAGGTTGCCGCCTTGCGTGCTAGCACTATCTGCCTAGGCAACCGCACGATCTGGGTCCGGCCTCATAACGCTGGAGACAACGCCTTCTCCTTCTCCTATCGCCATGTGGTGAGCATCTCGCTGGAGAAGATGCCGCTGGAGCTGTGGAATAGGAGGAGTTGGCGGCTAGCGTTGTGGGCTTCGCCAATCTGTTCAGGCTGGAGCACGCCTGCCTTCATGGCAGTGAGTTCTCCTGCATTTTTGTGCTCGTCAAAGTGGAAGCCCTCCATCACGTCCCACACCACCTCACCTTTCAACGCGTCGACGGCAACGACATCTATGCGGACGTCATCATCAATGAAATCTGTGATGTGGCCCGTTCCCTTAGCGCCCCCACAGCCCCGCCACAGCCGGCCGGCCAGGACGATGGCGAGGGCACCAACGGTTCGCTCTAGCCTGCTCTGCCACGCCAAGGGCATGCGCACCCTAGGCCTTCCCTGGGCAGCTTGGGGGGGACGAAGGCATGGAGGACCGGGCCTTCACGGCCTTCCTGCACCCAGAGATAGCTTCCGTCGGCGACTGCCTCGCCATGCTCAAGGTTGCGATCAAGCCAAAGCTGATCAAGAATGCCACTTTCTCCCTCCCCACGGTCGCGCAGATCGGCCACGAGGATAAGGACCGGCATTGCCTCCATTCATCTCTGCTCGCGGCTGACACGCGTGTGCCGCAGGTAGTGGTCTCCTTCCATCCGGAGGAGCTGCGGTTCTCCTTCACGCTCGAGCTAAACAATCGCCTGTCTGTTTATGGGTCCGTCCCGGGGCGGCCACTAGCGGCGGGGGACGACTACTTCCCTTGCTTCAACTACCTCTTGAAGACGCTGGCGCGGGAAAGCTGCCGGTCTCACCTTTTCAAGTCTGGCCCAAGCTACTTGATGGCAGGCTCTGCTCCCGCACGCTGCCTTTGCTCCCATCTGTGGAATGCAATACCCGCCTAAGCCCAATGTGCCTTCCAGCCTGCTGCCCGCACTCGGCCCGCACATCTCCTCCGTAGAGGGCCTTCTCCTCCCCGCTGCTGCTTACTTTCCATCTCAAGCCCATCTCCAAGCCCACCAGATCCTCACCTCTCGGCCCATGTCCTCACGACCTGCCAACCGCATCCCCAGGCCTGAGCCTGGTATCCTCGCCTATGGCCAGGTCTCCCCGGTAGCGGTGACTGATCTCAGGCACGGCGCGTGCGCCGTGCTTCCTCCCCATGTTGCCACTATCTTCTGCAGTTGCCACGATCCGTCGCAAGAACCTGCCGGTGGTGACTTGCTCACCTTGCCGCCAATGCTCTAGTTGCTCGACCCCCCTAGGGGTTCTGCTACTGGCCGGCGCGTCCTGGATCGCCAGGACCTTGATCTGAATCTGGTGTCTGCCGCCTGGCCGGCGGCTCTTGCCAAATCTGGAGTTCCTGGTGCGGATGAAGGGCTGATGGTCGTGCCCTCTGCTACCCTTGAAGGGGCCACCCATCCCCACGGTGCAGTCAACATGTCAGGCGAGCCTACGAGGGCGTGCGCTTGGGCTCTATTGAGCGCGCGGCCAAGCGCAAGGTGGCGGCGTCTGAATCCGACTCGGGCGGAGGCCCCTCTCGCCACTCTAGTTCCTCTTTGTCGCACCGCAAGAAGGAAAAGGTGATGGCGGCAGCTAGGCTCTTAGAGTTGCCTCTGCTGTCGACCCCGACCCCTCTGACTTGGAGCAAGTTGAAGCAGATTGCGGAGATTTGCGACCTCAATGCTACAACCATCCTCGATCAAGCCAGGCTCCATGCTTCCTCCACGACCTCTTCCGGTTCAGCAGGCTCTCCTGCTGCTAGCAGCTCGTCTGCATCATCTGTGCGTGTCCTCAACAATCTCTATGATTAGCCCTCTGGTGTCTGCTGCTGCATGCCTCTGGGTTAGTATGTTTAAGTTTGTTCTTGTAATGGGCGCTACCAGGAAGGTTCGGCTAGTCGGTCCTTGTCAGTCTGTTAGCTTTGCTTGGTTAGTTGTCACTGGCTTCGCGCGTTGCGTGTTTGCCCTTGTATCAGGTTTTCTTTGCTTCTTTCAGAGTCTGTATCGTGCCTGCTACCAGGTGTTTCAGTCAACCTATATGTCAACTTTAGCCTGCTCTATTTCTAGCATGTGTCTGCATTATCATCTCGGTTGTATGCTCTTTGTTCCACCATGAAGATTCAAAACTGGAATGTACGTGGTCTTGGTTATG